GTCCGTGTGTGCGCGTTGTGTGCACAGAACGCACCAACAGAGTTCGATTCAGGGCCCACCGCCGTCTCTGGTGGTCATGATTTTGTATTTAGGGGTAAACGCGTGTGGGTGCATGTGTTTGTGTATCCATGTGGCTAGCAGGGCAATGTACTTTCAGCATGGAAGAGTAGTTTCCATGTTTATCTTTGCTGTATTTTTGGCTAATTGCTGAGGACAATCCATTATACTGGAGGCCTTTCTGTTCCTTTTATTTGTAGCCATCTAGACAATGCTAAAATGCAGACCAGGGCCTCCCAATGATCACGTGCTGAGTAAATGTTGCCAGCCATTGCGCCCTGCATAGCCGGTGAGCTGCTTCATGGCCGCAGTCCTCCTCATAAACTTCCCTTGCGGGGTGCTGGCTGGTAGTGTCTGGATCCCTGGGCACGTGTGTCATGCGCCAGGTACCCAGGTGCAGGCCTGAACGGAGGCTGTCCTTCACCTGGAGAGCTCGGAGAGCTGCTTCCCAGGCTGCCTGCGCGGGCCTCTAATGACGGGTGCAGCTACAGGCGGCCGCTGCTTCCATGCGGTGTGCAGGAACTCGTCTGGCTGCCCTTATAACTGACCAGCTCCGCTGCCCTTTCCCTCTGAACTCAGTCCATTTTCCAGTGATTCCTCCCTCAAAACAGCTCCTGTGTTGCCCATGTCTAAGACAGCCTTTTCAAATTGGCTCCAGTACAAGAACACTCAGGGCTTCCATGTGGGTTTATCTCTACTGTGGTATCTGCCTACCACAATTACAGCTGTAATTTCCAAGTTTATTAAAACAACTTTCAAGGGATGAATCTCATCTAATTTTAACCATGTAAAAATTAATCATCCACCTTGAATCTTCCTCTACAAACACAAAAGACAGGTGCTACCAAAGGATGATTCATCCTACTCGAATATAGGCACCTTTAGAGAGAGAAATTTATTCTTTGTCCCTCTGTTGGATTATGAGAAAAGCTTACGGCTTATAGCAGGATCCACGTGTTCTTTGATGGGAACCTCTTTTTTTGAGGTGAGACAGTAGGAAAGCAATAAAGGGAGTATCTGAAAAGAAATGCCAGATTTATGGCCATTTGCAATTCAAGATTTGTCTTAGATTTGTCTTTCCTGAACCTATGGAACAAGGGGGTACTTTGCATATTCCCTGGTTTTCATTGAACTGAAACCCATGTACATGAGCCCAAAGAAGAAGGCACTCTAGTTAATCTGAGTGAGTTGGGAACACAGGATTTTAATGTTTGCAGATGAGCCACATGCAATGACCAGCCTTGACTAGGCAACTAACACTTAGGGGAAATGAATGCCAAACTGTATGTAATATACACTACATATACAATGTAAAATTAAAAAAAAATCAGTTGTTGCAAAACAAGCAGTCAGTAATTAGGGAAAGCTGGATGTTTCTAACTTACGGTTTCTGCAATCATTAATGAACCTGATTCTGTGTATTTCTTGTAGCAAATGTGCTAGGCCTCAGCTTAACCTACGAGGCCTGTGGTGGAGCCAGGGCTGACAGCCCTGCAGACTTTCAGTCAGGGACCCAAAGACAGCGAACGACTTTTTGCATCTTGTGTTCTGCATAATCATAATTCTTGTGTGCTCAATTCCTTGTGCCATATTGAACCAGCAGTGCTATAGAAAAGAAAATAGACAATTTGCAATAAAGTACACGGTAATGATTCCAAAGCA